CGCAGTCGGGAGGGTTTAGGGTTTAGGGTTTAGGGTTTAGGGTTTAGGGTTTAGGGTTTAGGGTTTAGGGTTTAGGGTTCAGGGTTCAGGGTTTAGGGTTTAGGGTTTAGGGTTTAGGGTTTAAGTTAGGTGCTCCAGCTCGCGGAATACCGTGATTAATGGTCACGTAGGCTCTGGTGAAAATCCCAGACTCGAGGGCTCACCAGAGACATGAAGTTGTTCGGCGATCAAGTTTTGTGGATGTCTTTTCCATGAACGAATCCCGAACATCCGAATCCCAAAATGCGCAGGGTATGCGGCCCTACACTCTCAGCATTGCAAGGTATCGAAGGCCTAACTATGTCCCCCTCAAGACTCACAACCCTGAACCCTCAACCCGAAAACCCTAAACCCCAAACCTCAAAGCCTCTTACCAGGCGCGCCTTTGACTTCGGAAACTCTTCGAGGATGTCCTGGCAGTGCAGATCGTTGCAGCTAGGCTGGCTGCTGAAGCCCTTAACTTCGGGCTTACCGTGAATGTTTAATGTTTGGGGAACAGGGTCGGGGGTTCTGGGGTTGAGGGGTTAAGGTTTGAACGGGCTGTCGAAGAATCTTCCTGGACCCTTGTGGGAGTGGGCATCAAGTATTCCAGGCCCTGCTTGCGCAAAGACGGAAGACAGACACGAGTGAAAGCTTCAGGAAACCAAGAATCCTAATATAGATCCTTTGCACCGTCGGATCCATATGCAAGCATGTTCAAACAAGCCACCAGAACAAGGGAAAGCAAACGTTGACAAACGCCCAAAGATGTCGAATCCCTACATGCCTAAGACTTTTTGGTCCTTCTTCTAATCGTTCTGCGGGGTCTTACGGCTCCTTCTGCTTTTCCGATTTGTTGGTCCAAAACTGCGGCTCGGTGAGGGAACAGCACTGTCGCTCTCAGGATGCTGATGATGGTTTAGGGATTAGGGTTGATGTTTTCGGGTTTCAGGTTTCAGGAGATGTTCTGCAGCCGATCTGCCTTCATCCGGCTTAGACGCTTCTAAATACGCTGGCTATGCACTACCCAGTAAGTTCGCTGGATGACTGCTGCTGCTGCTGCTACTACTACTACTACTAGCCACCCC